AAATTATTTTTTATTAACCTCTTAAGAAATCAAATTTTAATTAATAAAATAAAAAACAAACTCCCTTATTAATTAAAATATAAGAATCTTTTCTATTTCTATGTTTTTTTTCCCTGTTGAATCATGTAGCGTATTTTCGAGAAAAAACAATTACAAAGAATCCCAAATGTTAGTTGCTCTATCCCCACCCACATTTGTTCCTGCTTCCACTTACTTTTCGTAATGGGAAAAAAGGGTGTTTTTTTTCGACTACTAAAACCAACCAAAACAACTTTACTTCTTTTTTTTTTCTCCAATAAATAATTCTTTATTATGATTAAGCTTGCCCAATAAGATTAACTCTCACCACTCATAACCGTGGTAAAGTTGAGATTAGATTCTAGAGATTCTAGATCCAAGATCCTAGATACAATTATCTAACGATTTTGCCAATTTGATTAGTGACAACTACTTAAATTAGGTGGGTAACTAATTCAACATTTTTCTTACAATAAAATTTAGGAATATAGATTTCTATGTGGACTTGTAAAATAAAAAAAAAATACAAGTATCAATAAAGACTTAAATACTATTAATAAATTAATACACATAAAGTATTCAAAATATTTAAATAATTTTACAAGTTTTATTACACAATTTTTTTTTACAAGTCAACATGAATAATACCTTCTAATAAAAATTTACAATAATCACATAATATCAAATAAAAAAATACATTTTAATTCATATATCACACTAAATATAACCAATCATAATTATCGTCATGTTTGATTGGGAGTAATCATTAATAAAATCTAATTTAGAAATAACGATACCTTTTTTTTTTCTTTTTTTTCTTTTTTACATTCCAAACTGAAAATCATCATTCTCATTCTAATTTATAGCAAATAAAGTCAAGTAAACAACAATACTATTCACAACATTTTCCCTTCCAAGTCCATAAGATTGTTCCTATATCCCCACTAAAAACACCCAACTTACCATTGAGTCCTAAATTAAAATTAAGGAATTTAGGCCTAAAAATTAAACCTGAGCTTCGTAGAATCATAAAGTACCACGGATCAACAGCGAGAGCTCTTCCTCTTTGCCCCGTTAGATTTCGACTAGTTGACACGTGCCCTCTTGGTCTTGGCCGGACCACCACCGTTAATGTCCAAGTTCATGCGGTCTCCACCAACCATCTCCGCAAACATCCTCTGGAGGTCCTCAAAACTATCCCCCTAACAAAAATTTTAATGGAGTGTTAAGTGAAAAAATATAAATTGCGATACCTCATTTATTGTTAATTAATTTTAAGTTAAATCTATATATACGCTTTTCACATAATATCAAAATTAATAAGAAAATATATTCAGGTATACTCGTATGAGTTAAATACAAAAGAGAGTTATTTGTTTATTATTAATTAATTTTATATTAAATACAAATCTTGTATTTACATGTACGCACAATTTTTACAGGCACAATTTTTACAGACAGCCGCGTTAACTCGTTAAGCAAATTCACCAAAATACCCATAGTACATATGTTTGAGAATAAAGAATTCAGGGGCGTACCTCGTGTTTCACGTTGTTCATCATGGACAGCATCTCTTGCATAAAATCACAGAAGTCCTGCGCCCAAAAGTTATACAAAATTCAGGGTACAACTCCTAACGGAAATAACTAAAAAATGAAAAACGCAAAGGTTATGGCAGCACTTTTAGTGTTAATGTGATAATATTATATAAAATTATAATTTAATATGATATTTAATAAAATATAATATAATATTAAATAAATATATATAATATCATTAAAAAATGAAAAACGCAAAGGTTATAGACTTATAGCAGCACTTTTAGTGTTAATGAGATAATATTATATAAAATTATAATTTAATATGATATTTAATAAAATATAATATAATATTAAATAAATATATATAATATCATAAATAAATTAATT